TGGCATGGTCTGTATGACTCAGCCAGTGCCGGACGGCGGGCAGAGGTATGGCCCCTGTAATAGTGTGTGTCAAGAGTGGAGGCCGCGGGGGCAGCATATCGACATGGAGAACGGGTGCAAACGAACCCTTCTTGGCAAAGAAGAAGGCTGCTGTTGGTGTTGGTGGACAATACACAGACAGGCCTTGCGTATCGAGCAAAGGATACTGGCTTGAAAACTCGACAATTAGGTCACGGAAGGCTGTTTTTTTTTTCATTGGGAGGCATGAGGCCACCAGGTCGGGATCGTGATTCAAATGAACACCGTTCGTGAAGTGGGCCCAAACGAAGGTGGCGGGAACACAGACTCTGCAGCTGGTGCAGACAAGCATGCATGCTTCAGGTGTGTAGTGGAGGTCGGCCTCGTCGAGAAACTTGATGCCTGTCAGGACCAATGTTGCATGAAATGGTGGCAGGGAATCGGACGCGGTGTGATGCGGACTGCGGCGCTACCGAGGGAATGGGTGTGGGTTTCGGTCGGTGGCCTATTCGTCCTCTAGGGGGTTTGTAAGAGCGTGGTCCCTAGGGGGTCTGGCACGTTGTAGGCAGGCTTATAGGCAGTGAAAACCGCGGGTGTGTGTGTGTGCGTGGGTTGGGAGCGCGAGGCTCTTGTGGTTTTGTGTGGAAAACCACGGTTGGCGCAGGAAAGTTGCGGTTTGCCGGGCTATGTCAGCGAAGAATACGGTGTAGAAAGTGAAGATACCTGTTCCGCTAGGACGCGATGTCGCCGATGCGCTCCTTCAGAACCTCCAAAGCCTCTGTGCTTCGACCTAATCCAATGCCTTTCCCCTTTGAACGGGGCACGTGATCGTGTCGGTGGGCGAACCAAGGGGTTCGCTCGCGAGTGACTTCGACGTCAACAGTCTCCGGTGCGGAGGGTGAGTCCGGTCGTTTGGTAGACGATTTGCTAGGGGGAAATCCGCGGTAGAACCCTTCCACTACGACATGGAGGGACCTGTGTAGGAAGAAATGTCGCGACGCGGGCGAGGTGTGTGGACGCGAGCCTGGCGGCTTTCAGGCTGCGTGAGGATGGGAGTAGAGTGCCTTGGGAGACAAGCTTGGAGATGCGAAAAGGTGTGGTTGTGGTCAATCCTTATTGGTGTGGGTTTTAGATACACAAAGTAGTGGGGGAGAATCCTAGCCCAGGAGTGAACTCCTCAAACACCCCTCCCTTGCCTGCCTTTTATGCCTCGCTTGCACCGCCTTCTCGAGACGCGCGTCCCTCAAGATCCGCCCATCCGAGCTTCTGGTGTTTGAGGCTGACAGCTTGAGAGCTTCTCTGTGGAGAGGAATGTCGCGGGTGAGCGACCAAGTCGCGGTTGTTCGGTGTTCGTTGGTGGTTTTCTTTGTAGTGTGGTGTTCGCGCCGTCGTTACGCGGCTAGGCGGCGCTTGGCGATCGCGATTGCGTCGAAGGAGAGCGTGGTCGAGGTGTGCCGAGGTCTCAAGGTCCGGAAACCGCGTGCTCCCGTTGCTCATGGCGCTCAAGTCGGTCGCGGATTGTGGTGGTATTCGTCATGTGTCGCCCTCGTTTGTGGTGGGGCCGGCGTCGGTCGTGGTTTGTCGAGGCTCGGTCGAGAGCGTACAGTCTTGAGCGCGGGGTGTGAAAACCGTGGTTTTTGTAGAGAGCGAGATAGGGGCTGGTGGTTGGTTTCGTGGTTGTTGTGGCCTCCGTGGCGGCCGTGTGGGTGGTCATCGGGACCGTTTCAGGGGATCGCGTGGGCATGGTTGGTGCTTGTTCTGGGTGTACGAGGAGCGGCGAAGTGGGGATCGAGTGGAATTGTCGCGACATTGCATTGCCGGATTAGGAAACCGTGGTTGCTCGTTCGGGAAATACGGGCAGTGTCGTGTTGTGGGTGTCGTTGTGGTGGTTTCTGTGACGCTGTGCCATAGCTAGAGCACCATGGGTGCTCACACCGCCGCCACCGCTCACCTCGTCTGTTCGCCGCTGCAGGCGAACGGTGTGTCCTGCTGCAGGCTTGCTCGCACTCATATTGGCGGTGTGGTCGTCTCAACTACCACTTCTCACTCACCACCGCTGCCCACGCTCGTCTGCTCACCCTCTAGTTGTGCGCCGCGTTACTTGGCTCATCCGCTCGCCCATGTCCGCGTCCACGTCCCGCTTGGCCCGCTTCCGGCCCCACACCTTTGTTCTGCCCGCCCACGCTCGCTCGTCCGAGGGGTCTCGGAGGGCGCTCATCTAACCCACACCTTGGAGATACGGCACGAGACGGGACCAACTGTCGTCCGAACATTCAAGACAGGGACAATGTTGCAGCACATCTCACATGATATGAGAAGGTCCTGGGTTCAATTCCCAGTCCAACCATCTTTTGTGCTGCAACAGACGAGTGGTGAACGGTGAACGGTGTGTGTGTCGTGCCACCGCCTGGCCCGACTCGCGCCCGTGTTTGCGGCTCTTGCCTGTGTTTGCAGCTCTCCGGCGTCATCCTTTCCTGTGAGAATTTGTAGCATAAATATGCTTATTTCAATCTGCAGTTTGTTTGAATGTACTGGATGTATGCAGATGCACTGATAATGCATTTTACATTGAAACATTGGAATTTGGCCACTAAGTACTGGCCACTAGTATGGGTGGCTCCTCTTCCCTTTGCCTTTCCCTAACTGCTTTGGGAAGAGTGAACCCCATGAGTAATTGACCTTGCTACTATCCTTAACACTGGCCAGCTCATTTTCCTCTGCTATAGCGTCTTCCAAAGCTCGCGATGCTATGGTAGGTTTTTTTGTTATCTTGCGGCGACATGTTGGGCAATCTGAATGAGTTTCGAACCAAATCCTTATGCATACATAGCAGAAGTTGTGGCAACATTGCAACCTATAAACATTCAGACCACTGGTCTGATAAATAGAAGATACCAGGAAGAGAATACGTACAACACAGGATGAGAAAGTATGCTTTTACAGATAGGACACTATAGATAGGGTTTGCAATCGGGTTTGGAATCGGATCGAGTGGGAGGGAGAATCCCGTTTAAGTACAGATTGCTAGAGCGCCCACTGGCAGTGGAACGGCTTCCAGAGGGCGGTGTTTGATGAGTGGCTGTTGAAGGGATCATTATTGTGCTGAGAGGGAGACTCATGAAATACACGTTCAAGGCCTTCAAGATCTTGGAGAACTATGGGCTCATTGAAGCTACCTGGCCCGTTGTCGATGTTGATCAGGATGGGCTGTGATTGACTCCCTGGTCCTACACAAACAAGCGGCGGCTTTCCCGTCCTCTTGTTGATAAACTTGACAAACTTCTTTTTATCTTTGTCCCATTGGGCAGGTTTGAGAACAAATTTGAATCTGGAGGGAGCAACGTTGGACGACATGAATGATGCGTCCAATGCAACGATGGTGACATGTCACAGTGTCCTTGATCTTGCCGATCATCTTTCTTTGCCTCACATCATGCCTGAAGAACCTGAGGGAGGCTATGAAATCCCTGAATATTTCCAGGGTATCATAGAGTCTAAGTATGTGTTAAATACCGTGCCGAGGATAGGGGAATGTCCGGAGTACCGGAGCACCGGAATACCGGAAGGACCGGAAGTACCGGAAGCGACCGGAAGGACGGGGGGATTCACGGAGGATCACAACACCACAGAGAGGCTGGGTGAGCGACTACCTGACGAGCCCGGGAGGGAGCGGGAGAGAGCGAAGAGGACCGGAGGAACTGGAGTCGACACAGAGAATAGCTGAGAGGCTAAACAACGTTTATAATCAAACTGAAGTACTGTACATCGTAGCGACGCTTATATACTAAGAACGAGGGAATATTACGTAATCGGAATGTCGCTACTTTAAATGGAAAGGTCAAAGCAAAGTCCAAAAGAGGTAAGCAAATGGAAGCATGGAGCATATGGCGGGATGGGCATGTGATCATACCGGAGACAAAGGAAAGACCATAAACGGGAAACGCTCAGTAATCCTTCATTGCGAAAAACCCGATTGGTCGGCGGATTGCGCGCAGCCCGCAGAGGGGCGCGCGACTAGGTTCCGGAAGTGTTCCGGAACCGGAAGGACCGGAGCGTACCGGAGCTGATCGGAGCTCTGCACGGATATAACAGTATGTCCAGCAAAACCTGGAATCTATGATCTTCAAAGGGATTGCCTGCGATGTCCTACAGGGCAAGGTTCGAGCTATGGAAGAGCGTTCTCAGCGAGTGCTCACATTTGCGGGAACCTGGAGCTCTGGACTTTTAGTCTCCAACAAGCACATTGTCTAGGCTGATGACTTGTTCATCCTGGCTCAGTCAGTGCCAGATGACCATGGCTTGCTCATTGGATCGGTATGTTCCTTCAGTCACTGACTACATATCTGACACAAATGCGAAAGGTGCATGCTCTACTCTGCAAAAATGTCAGAGCCCAAATATCGAAGAATCATTCAAATTGGGTGTCCTTCCAATAAAGGATTTGAGAATGGATATACAACTTGTGCCAGAGAAGTGTACTGCACATTTCAAGCTTATTTTGATGCTATGGCTAATAGCCAACAGTGTCTACACCCTGGCACAAGGCATTGCCGGCCAATTTCAGGTACAAGATAGGGAATAATCCCGCCCTATCAGGTCTACCTATTGAGCTAAACCGGCTTGTACCACCCATATGGTGAGGTCGCAACCTGGACGGATCCCCGACTAATGACAGAACATACATAGATAATTCAAAAGAACTCTTTGCGGAAAAACATCTTGTGCTGGACCGCTGTGAGCACCCATGGTGCTCTGGCTATGGCACAGCGTCACAGAAACCACCACAACGACACCCACAACACGACACTGCCCGTATTTCCCGAACGAGCAACCACGGTTTCCTAATCCGGCAACTCAATGTCGCGACAATTCCACTTGATCCCCACTTTGCCGCTCCTCGCACACCCACATCAAGTACCAACCACGCTGTGAGACTCCCCAACGCGCTAGGGTGTGCAATGGGAATGATCATCTCTGGGAACGGTCGCTTAGTCTAGTGGTTAATGACACCGGCGAAGTCAGCAGGAGGTCCCAGGTTCGAATCCTGGAGCAACCATTCTTTTCCATGTTGCAATCGTAAAGCAATCACCAGCGTCACAACGCCCCCACGATCTCCTGAAACGGTCCCGAAGACAACCCACACGGCCGCCACAAAGGCCACAACAACCACGAAACCAATCACCAGCCCCTATCTTGCTCTCTACAAAAACCACAGTTTTCACATCCCGCGCTCAAGACTGTACGCTCTCGACCGAGCCTCGATAAACCACGACCGACGCTGGCCCCACCACAAACGAGGGCGACACATGACAATACCACCACATTCCGCGACCGACTCGAGCACCATGAGTAACGGGAGCACGCGGTTCCCGGACCTTGGGACCTCGGCACACCTCGACCACGCTCTTCCCTGACGCAATCGCGATCGCCAAGCGCCGCCTAGCCGCATAACGACGGCGCGAACACCACACAAACATGTAGAAACCACCGACGAACCCCGGACAACCACGACTCAAACGCACACTCACGACTTTTACTCCACAAAGGAAGCCTCCGACCGGTTGGCTTCGCGCACCAGCATCATACAAACGACGATAGAGACGATAACTACAAAGAAAACCACCAATGAACACCGAACAACCGCGACTTGGTCGCTCACCCGCGACTTTCCTCTCCACAGAGAAGCTCTCAAGCTGTCAGCCTCAAACACCAGAAGCTCGGACGGGCGGATCTTGAGGGACGCGCGTCTCGAGAAGGCGGTGTGAGCGAGGCATAAAAGGCAGGAAAGGGAGGGGTGTTTCAGAGTTCACTCCTGGGCTAGGATTCTCCCCCACTATCTTGTGTATCTAAAACCCACACCAATAAGGATTGACCACAACCACACATTTTCGCATCTCAAAGCTTGTCTCCCAAGGCACTCTACTCCCATCCTCACGCAGCCTGAAAGCTACCAGGCTCGCGCCCACAAACCCCGCCCGCGTCGCGACATTTCTTCCTACACAGGTCCCTCCGTGTCGTAGTGGAAGGGTTCGACCGCGGATTTCCCCCTAGCAAATCGTCTACCAAACGACCGGACTCACCCTCCGCACCGGAGACCGTTGACGTCGAAGTCACTCGCGAGCGAACCCCTTGGTTCACCCACCGACACGATCACGTGCCCCGTTCAAAGGGGAAAGGCATTGGATTAGGTCGAAGCGCAGAGGCTTTGGAGGTTCTGACACTGGGGGCAATGGGCAATATACGGGGCTGTTATATTGTAAGTATATCCTAAGTATTTTACAAATATACCCCAGATATACTTGCAATATACGGGCTTGGTATATACTCAGTATATTTCAAATATCCCAACAATATCCTCACAATATACGGGGCCCGGATATAGTCCGTATATTAGCTAATATCCGGGCCATATACTTGCAATATACGGAGGTCTGATGGCTACCATATATGGGACTCCGTATATTGCAAGTATATTGCAACCAAACAAGCTAAAAAACAAAGATGCCAACACTTGCCTCAAAAGGCAATAACCTTGGCCCCATTCTAGCTAAAGCTCTTCATTATAGCATACTCTTTTGTCAGCTGGAAAGCCAACATCTGGCCTACAATCTTCTTTCCAAATCAGCACTTCAGCCATGTGACTGTAATTCTGGTCTTCTGTATCTTGGATTTCACCTAAACAGCTGGCAATTTTCCTTTCAAACATATCTGAAAGACTCTCCTCAGCTAGAGCTTTAATTTGGGCCTACTATCATCTATATCGAAGCAAATCTAGAGAAGTTGGACAATTTAGACCTATATCTAACTTGTCATGTGATTTCCCACTGAACAGCTGGTAGAAAAAGTCTGAAACTACTTGGGGAACTACTACTCAATGGGATCTATTGATGTACAAGTTATTACATTTTTCGAAGAAGTTTTGGCTCTTGTGAATGGTTTTGACTGTGTCCTATACTGAGTCTAAGAGTGATGCAATCACGGAGCTCCGCTTCCGATCACGTGACCGGAATGCGCAAATTCCGGTCATGCCCAGTTGGGTCATGTGACTTTTTTTTGAAATAAAGAAATAAAAATAATCCCTGAAATTGTAAGTTCAATCCTCACAGGAGGTATTCTTTTGGGAAGTATCTGGGTATATGCTGGAAGGCACAAGCAGGGAAGAGTATGTGTATTGGGATGTGTTTCAATTGGACTTACCTGCTGTGTGAGAAGACAAGTGTGAGACAAGCAGCTAACCAGAACCATTTTTTGATTTTCAGTTTTCTTTCAACAAGAAAATTGAGACTGGTGTTTTGGAAATTTGAAGACTTATCTTGATGGCTCATCTTCAAAACATCTCTTGCCGTTTCTTGGAGCTAAAACTTTGAAGTATAGAACAAAGAAATCCACACAAAGTAAGGATGCAAAAAAAAAATGCTGCTAAAGCAGTCTGCCTCCAAGATGCTCGCTGCCAAAGCAAGTATAGTGGAGTGCGAGAATGCGAGCTGCTGCTAAAGCGGCTGGCTTTCCAACCTGGCCGCTGCCAAAGCAGGCAAATTGAAATAGCTTAATGGTTAGCCACTGCCAAAGTGGCTGACCCTCCAATTTATCTGCTGCCAAAGCGGGCAAATTGGAGAATCACATAAAGGTAGGCTGCTGCCAAAGCGGCCAACCTTCAATCTGCCCACTGCCAAAGCAGGCAGATTGAGAAAGAAAAAAAAAGGGAACAAGAAGATGGGGGTTGTGGTTAGAGGAGAAGTGCATGGGACATCATCATGGATCTAGAAGACCAGAATCACAGTCACATGGCCGGAAGCACTAATTAGAGGAGATAATTGTGGGCCAGATTTTCCAGCTGACAAAGTACATACTATATAAAGAGAGACCTTGGCTTAAGTGGGGCCAACTTTATTGCCTTTTGAAGTAAGTGTTGGCATCTTTTTTTAGCTTGTTTGGTTGCAATATACTTGCAATATACGGAGTCCCATATATGGTAGCCATCAGACCTCCGTATATTGCAAGTATATGGCCCGGATATTAGCTAATATACGGACTATATCCGGGCCCCGTATATTGTGAGGATATTGTTGGGATATTTGAAATACTAAGGCCCTCCGGGCAATACCTGGCACCCTCGCTGGTACTGGTTCTGGACTTGGATCATATGCGCGACGCTGTTTGCTACTCGGGACATTTGTTTTCTACTTAGATTGACCGTGTGTAATTCTAAAGTGACCGTCGCGTTGTCCCCCACCCCCCCCGTTCGCGTTTTCGATGTCCAGTTCCTCGTTTCTGTAGTTCAAAGCATTTGGTGGATAGCGTAGATGAGAGCAGCAGAGGAAATAAAAGCAGTAAAGGATAGCTTCAAGATTCAGCGTCCTCGTTCTTTACTTGGGGAAAAAACGCCGTAGGCGCCGACCGACGCTGCGGAGTACGCGGCCGACGCGTGCAAATGTTCTCGAAGGCGCCGGTCTGATGGGCGCTCCAGGACGATCCTCGGCGGCGGCGCGAGACTCGAAGCGGTCGCCGCCACTGCTGTCGTCGGCGGCTGCGTACAGCGCGAGCGCGTCGAACTCGCCATCGCCGGGGTAGCTGCCGCCCTCGAAGCCGTACACGGCGGTAACGCTGCGGTTGTCTCCGGTAGACGTGCGCGCACCCGTGTTGTGGTCGACGCTGCAGGCGCAGTCCTCCGCTGGGGCTCCCGTGTCCGTGCCCACGAGCGTTGCGTCCTCGTCGTCTTCCAATGCGCTATAGGCCGGCGGCGCGTCGTCGTCGGGCGCGTTTACGTCCAGGAAGTGCGACATCTGCAAGTGGGGAGCAGAGGTTGTAAGGTGAGTGAATTCAGGCCTCAAGTGTACACACCTTGAAAAGATCTGCACTGATTTGACAGAGGTTTGGGCCTTGCCAGGTGTTTGGCTGAAGGGCAGAGCCTGTAGGAAGCACTGTGTGTGGTCTCTGCCCCAGAATCACTGAGCCCACTCACCTTTGAGAGACCTTGTTGTACTTGAGAAAGATTGAGATGAAAGTGAGAGATAAAGAGCAGTTGGGCGGAGCTTCCCATCAGCAGTGTCAATCACGACCAAACAGAGACAGGTGTATAACCTATAACGGTCGTGCACCCTCATATTTGGCGGAAACTTCGAAGTTTTTGACATAAAATTGCGACTTTTCGCTCACTTGACATGCCCAGAACTTGAGGGCCGCGTTGCGCCGGACTGTCCTGTATGATTAATCGCGCTCGTATTTATTTTATACCGCATTATCCTGTAGGAATTGAAACCACATTTTGAGAACTTCCGCCTTCCGGAAATTCGTCCCTGATTTATTTCCGATTGTCATGTGTTCGTTTTCGGGGCTAGGCGCTGTCTCCCGGTTTGTTCCTATTGGACAAGCCAGCGGTATCCACAGTGGTCTCGTCGACGAACAAGAACTCCGATTTTGTCGATGCCCTTTTTCGATCTTGCAGTATGTGCCTCGGTCAACCCGGCCAGTTTCTTTCCGTGCTGTACATGTGGCTCTCAAGGTTTAAACTTGAAGACACGACTGCCGCGTTTGTTGGCTGGAAAGTTATCCCTTTTGCGGACGAGGAGGAGTGAAACCGAAAGAAGATATTTGCTGTTGCTTGGCTGACTTGCCGAGTTTTAGCATCAACTGAGGATCATCACATTATAATTTACCGAGTCTGTCAGCAGACGATGCTTGTGCGTAAAGCTGGCAACTAAGCATTGTTACAACTATAGATCGTTTACTGATACATATCACTTCTGAATCTCCCACGACGCCAACCGGCTCAGTGTGGCTCCTCAATCGTTGTATTTTCACCAACACCTACTCATACTATGTGATACTTGTGGCACCCGTTCGCGTCTATTCGTTCTGAGGCTCGTCTTTATCTGCGCTTCGCGTACCTCAATTGGTATCGGTGTGGACTTGGGCAGCGGCCCCTACGAACATAGCGCTCTTCGCGCCCGACAACTCAGCTCTGATCAAGCTGTTGGCAAGTCAGTACTTGCGACAATTGAAGCGAGGACCTCGTACATTGCAATACTCTCCAAGATCGGGCGAATATGCTCGTGT